GCTCGGGATGGTGCGGGCAAGGCGGAGGGAGGATGCATAGGGGACTGAGAATCTGACGCCAGGGGCAAGGGGACAGGACTGGACAGAAGACAGAAGAGGTATGGAGGAGAGAGGGGACAGAGAAGGCAAGGGATGGGGAACCTAGGACAGAACGAACTGGCGGGCACTGGGCAGACAGGGAGACACGCAAGAATCTAAGAATCGGGGACAAGATACAGAGGACTGAAGGAAAGGGGGCTGAAGATGGCATTGAGAAACAAGGCCAAGAACTGACAGGGACCAGAGAACAGAGGTTAGGGAACACAGATTTGAGGGGTGGCTTGAGAGTGGGGTGGGGGCGGAGGCTGGCCATGGGAAAAGGGTTCAATGGAGAGGCACCAGTGGCAAGAGGTGCCGTGAGGAAAGGGAGACACAGAGGCACTCAGCCTCCCAGAACAGGGTCTTGTCTGGGTCAAAGCCAAGTGGCCCTTTCACTCAGGCCCCAGGAAGGTGGGAAGGGCACTGAGTCATCACGACCCAAAGGGTCTGGGAAGTGACTTCTGGTGGTGGAAGAGACCGGAGAGCTGAGAGGGGCTCCAGGGCTGCCGACCCACACCCTCCTTAGTCCCACCGGACACTGCTATCAGACCGAGGGGTCCGGGCTCAAAAACCCTAGCTCCTGGTGTGGATTCTCCTTAGGATGCTGTGCCGAGGAGGCTGCGGTCCACTTTCCAGAGCTAAAGCCAGTCTCGCCAGGCAGGCTGGACTTACAGTGGCCATGGCTCCCTAGCAAGCTGAACTGTTCTTCCTGCTCAGAGTGCCCCTGGAAACTCAGGGGGTCCACCCAGCCCGCAAGCACAGGCTCATCCACACAGACCCAGGCTAGCAGAAGCACAAATGCATGGACAGCACACTCGCCATCATGTGCACAGCAGTGCAGCCACTGCACACATACATGACAGATATATGCACATGGAAATGTGTATGTGTGACACCCACGTATGCATGTAGGTGCCGCAGAACACACAGGAAGAGACCCTCCGACTTGCATGCATGATCAGTAAAACACATGAGCTCCAAGACAGGTAAAATACTAACGCCAAGGAAAGCGGAGCCAAGGAGGCATGGGGATGTGTTGCAGTGTGGCTAAGGGACAGGTGGGCAGGTAGAGCTGGCTGGCTACCTAGTTATGAGATATGTTTGGGTGGCATATTCTGAGTGAGTGGGGAAGAGGGCAGAGTCAAGGCTCAGAAGAACAGTGGCCTGAGAGAACAGTTTTCCCAGAGTTGGGCCAAGTGGTGTGGCATGTGTTAGGGTGGGCTAAGGTTGGGGGTGGAGGTGGTTTCTAGCCCAGTAATTTTTAAGGAGGTCTTCGGCAAGGCTCTAGGTGTCAGCAGTACACCCCAAGTCCTTGCCTCAATTGTTTTGTGGAGGAGCTGGCCACCTTCCACCATCACAGGCAGTGGGTCCTAGAGCCCTCATGGTACAGTGACTTTTCCCAGGCTCCCAGGCTCTAGACAGATGTGAGCAAGGAACACGTGCAACAGAGGAGCCACAACTGGATAGAGGGGAGAAAGCGGCCCACAGTGAGGCTAAGGCCAAGTATATAGCCATCTGATATCTTGCAGAGTGCCTAGTCAAGCAGCGGAGATCCAGGTAACTCAAATGGCCATGATGGAGACCTGGGCCTGACGTCCATGTAGAGTACCCAGGAATCCTTTATGGCAAGGCCCTTGCACTGGTACAGAGCCAGAACCTGCTAGGGAGACCATTGGGTACTCGGGGAGAAGGCACTCTTCCCAGCTGGGGTCCAGCAGAGGCGACAGTGCTCAGCCTGGCTAGCTGCCCATTGCTCACAGTGGCTGCTGGGCAGTCATGCACCTGCAGAGATTCCTTGAGCCACACCAGGCGCCAGACCCCTTATCTCTCCCTAGAGTGGATCATCCTCCACTTCAGGGTGGTCTCTAAGGCAGTCTTCATGTCCTGCCTGATGTCCCTGGGCCACCCCGATTCTCTGGCCTCCCCATCACACACTTCGTCCTCAGGGAATGTGAATCAATTTAAGTATTAGTCTCAGCGAAATGGAATGGGGGAAGGTGACAGTACTGGAGAGAAAAGGAATCGCATAATACCTTCCACGGTCAGGCGGGAGCCGCCGAGGAATTATCTGTGCTGCTCAGCACCTACCGCCCTGTGTAGTCCCCAGAACAACTGCATAGGGAGTTTTCAGAGCACTGCCTGTGGGCATGTTCCAGATGAGGAGACTGAGGCCTGAGGGGTTCAGTGAGAGGCCTTGGAGTTCAGCCTCGAGTTTTCCAAATACATCCATCCGGAATGGGGAATCGATCCCACCATCTGGCAGGATAGGAAACCAGGCAGCTGCATAACCAGGGTGCCTGGTCCAAGGGGCTTCAAACCGGCCTGCAGGCCTAGTACTGGAACTCCACTCCAGTCCCCATCGACCTCCTGTTGGCATGGGTTGTCCTTGGAGATTCACCCCACTCTCCTCCATACCCCATGGCTAGAGATGTGAGATGCAGAGGCTGGCAGTGGTCCAGAAAAGGACGGGAGGAAAGGAACAGAGAAGGGGCTAGAAGGGATCGGAATAAACAGCCCTGGACTCCTGTAGCCTGTTGTGAATCCAATAGAATTGACTTTTGACTTAGCCGTGAATTGTCTGAGAACTGACTGGTGTGATGGGACTTCCTGGGGACAGAGGGTGGCCCTGAAGTCAGGGTGTCCAGGGAGAACCTCCATGACAGTGGGTGTTTGTTCATGGTCCTCTGACGTAGAAGCAGGTCTGAACTAGATTGTTCAGTACCTGGAATCTCGGCCTCAGGCCCGAGACCCACATGTGGGATACTGGCTAGCATGGGAACACCCCTGGGCGCTCTCTCCCCACCCTCTCTCCTAATGGGGCCCCACTGGTCTTTGGGAGGGGGTTGCAGTATGGCCCCCTTCCCTCCCCCAGCCAGCAGGAGGAAAGAGCTTGCCTGACCCACTTTTCTCTCTATTGCCTGCGAGCAAAGGAGGGAGGGAGATGGAAAGCCTTCTCTTTGCTTGTGCCTCTGGCATAGGGCTGGCTCTGGAGAGGGGACATCCCTCTGTGGACATTTGTTCTGGTTCTGGTCCCACCCAGTCCTTGGGGACCTAGAATGGAGTGCAGAGGAGCCTTCTCTGGTTCAGCCAGGCTCCTGATGTTGGAGTGGGAGGGTGGGAGGAAGAAGGAAATGCGTCTGTCAGAGCACCCTCGCTCCACAGTTCCTGATGACACTTGTCTCCATCTTTGAGGGCCAGAGAGGGCCAAGTTGGAGCTATGCAAATCTCAAGCAGAAGGATACCCCTCCTTCCAGTGGGGAAGTTCCAAAAGGCCCAGATTTAACCGTCTGTGACCTGACCAGGTCACATTCCATCCTGGTAGATGGAAGCCCATGGTGGTTGGCTAGGAAAGGGGACCCATGGAAGAAAAAGAAATACACAAACACACACACACACACACACACACACACACACACACACACACACGGAAGGCTATGGGGCTCTGTGCCAAAGGCCTCTGATGACAGCTATGGCCATTGAGATAAAAAGGAAGGGCCCAGAGACAGGAAGGAACTTTCCTAGGACACAAAGCAGATGCAGATAGTTAAGACTGGAGTCCTGTTCTCTGAGCAGGATAGAGTGCCTGTAGTTGCTGGAGCGAGTGAGTAGGCACAGGGATGTAGGAGAAAGACCAGAGTGTCAACAGGGGCCGGCTTTTGAACAGGCACTGGCCCTGTGCTTTAAAGATGGCTTCCTTGCCCCCATCTGAACCACCGAGTCTTACTGATTCATTTCACAGATGAAGAAATTGAGGTTCAAAAAATAGAGGCCACCTGTGATGTGACAAGGGCCCAGGAATGCCTGACGCCAAAGAGGGATCTTTACCTTGTGAGTCGGCAAGATCCCCCAGGTGGGCATGCGGCCTGACTTTGAACAGACTGGCATTTGAGTCAGAACGCCTTTCCCCCACCCAGGGCACCATCCAGAGAATCTGCTTCTCTTGCCAGCCTTGCCAATTGGTAGTTCTCTCTGTGCTGGCCCTGCTAGCCACACCTGGGCTTCTGGGCAGGTTCCCGAACCTCTCAGAGACATACATCTTTCATTCCTAAAGTGAAATTAGTACTGGCTGCTTCTCTGTACTGTCATGAGACACCGTCATAGGCTAGGTGGCATTTAAGGCTCCCCTGGCAGAGTTCAGCACACAGTAGGTGACATCAGGAGGCAGCTCTCGCCCACTCACAGCCCTACTACCATCACTGTCTCTAGTGGCCCAGCAGGTGCCAGGCTCCATACTGGGACATTGAGGGCATTAAAATCGTGCCTGTCCTTGGGTAAATAGTGAGACTTGATAGTGTAAATGTGAATGCCGTCAGCTCCTCAGAGAGCACTGGGGGTAAACACCATCACCCCTTTAGTGGTCCAGGAGCTGCCAGGCTCCATCCTGGGGACGTTGAGGACATTAAAATCGTGCCTGTCCTTGGGTAATTGGTGGGACTCGATAGTGTAAATGTGAATGTCGTCCCCTCCTCAGAGAGCCCTGGGAGTAAACACCATCATTCCCATTCCACAAAGGGGGAATCTGGGGCTTCAATGAAGAGACAGAACCAAGGATGCCAGCCTGGACCTGCAGGATGTCCCACCCCCCACTAGACCCAGCTGTGTACACCCAGCTATTCCAGGAAGCCCAGGGCCGGGCAGTATGTGCCACAGTAGTGACATGGCTGATGGTTGGCGAGAACAAGCATCCTGGGCTAAGAACTGTGAGCTCCTGGGAAGGGGCAGCTAGGAATGACCAGTGTGGCTGGCTCTGGCCAGGAAAAGGGTCACAGGGGCCTAATGCCCTCTTGTGTTCTGTTTTACAGTGAACCTGTTGGACACATCAACCATCCACGGAGACTGGGGCTGGCTCACGTATCCGGCTCATGGGGTGAGTGATGAAGTAGTGTTGTCTTTCTGAGAGGCTGCAGTTCAGAGTCTTAGTATGACACAGGTCAAAAAGAAGCAAAGCCTCCAAGAAGTAAACTCATTCATTCAAGGACACACAGGTGGAACAGAGTGGATCGTTCTTAGCAGTTTAGCTCATTGGGACCCGTGGGCCACAGAGCCAGCTCTGACACTGGCCCCTGATTCCTGTCTGACTCTGAGTTTAAGGATCTTCATATCCATGCCCTGGGCTTGTATATTCACAGTCTGCCCAGCCCAGGCCCAGGGTAGCTGGAACCACGGTAACAGAGAAACAGACAACCAAGTCCACCCAGACCTTCCTTCGTTTGGGCTGGGTCCCCTCCCTCCAACTGCCAGGCCTCACTAGGGGCTGCTTGGACCCAGGAGCCTTCAGTGTCTGTCAGAGCCACCTTGAGCACAGAGGTCCATGATGGCACATTCCCTGACCCCATCAGATCTCCAGGTGACCGTGGACTCCAGTAACCACACTGCACAAAACTGTGTCCTTCATTACCTTTCTCAGATTCCATGGGCACCATGGTAAAGGTGAGACAGTGACTGGTGGGACCGGGATCACCACCTCACCTCAATTTCCCTATCTGTAGAAAGGCAGGAGCGTGTGGTGATCTCCTAAGGCTGTTACATGGCCTTGGACCTCAGCATCGGTGGCTCTCGGAGTCAATGAGCAATGTTACTAGTGTGTGCTGTGATTATATCCCATAATGAACACATGCGTGACACACAACCCTATCTCCAGCACAGGCTTGTGTACTGACTGCTTTTATGAATACTTTTGGCTTTCAGGGCCCAATTTGTCCTAATGATGACAGTGGCACTGGGAGTTCAGGCCTGGAAAGGGATTCCTAAAAAAAAAAAAAAAAAAAAACTTTGGGCCAGGTTTTCTTCTTAGAGGTTAGGCTGGATCTCTGCTCTTCCTCTCTGGGGTCTCATGGTAGGCAGCAGCGGGCTAAGCCAACAGCCATTGGTCCTTGGGCACAGGAGAGCTAGCAGGGCAAATGCTGTAATCCTCCAGGCCCAGAGCTGTAGCCTGCACAACCACCACTTCTGAGGACAGAGGCTGGGTATTCTGATCCTGAGAAATGCTGCCCAGTGTGGCTGTCCCCAGGAAGGGCCTGCCCAAGGGAAAGTCCGGTTTCAGGCCTGGTCCATGCTGAGTGCCTGATGCTAGCAAAGCTGTTAAAATGCATCTCCCCTGCTCCTTAACTTCTAGGAAGAGACAGCCTTGGCCCCAGGTGGGCTCTGCTCTGGCTGTCTCTGTTGCTCTGGGACCAAGGACTTGACCGTTAGGTTAATGAGAACCTGGATTTTGTTTCTGGAGGGCTCACACCTAGTGACAGAAGGCTCTGCTGTTCATGGCATGCCAGGCATGTGCAACATCTTTTCACTTTAGAAAACAATGATAAAACCTCATGCTCACATTGCCCTGGGAGCAAGCCCTTGGAGGATGGTAGGCCCATTTCACACAGGAGGCCCACACCAGTGCAGTGAAACAAACAAAGAAACAAAGCAAAAAATACTGCTACAGTGGTGATCAGGAATCTCTCTAGGCCTGGAGCCTGCATGGAACCCCTGTACACCTCAGGTGCTGAGGGCTTTGTGACCTCCCTGTACAGTGAAGGAGGATCTATATTATCCATCGAGCCAAGGATGTGCTTGCTCCACCTGGAGCCTGGAGTTGCCCAGAAAGGAATGTGCTACCTGGCTCCAACCCCAGTTCTGAGAGCAGGTCGATCTGGGGAGTGGGTGCATGCTCCCATCCAGTGTCTTCTGTTGATTCTCCTGTCCAGCAAGCAGGAGAGCCTTTGGATCTGGCTTTTGAAGCTCTGTCCAGCTCTCTCATTCTGCAGCTTACTTAGCATGAGAGGGGGTATCTGGCTTGGGCAGAACATAGCTGAAGGCATGGGTGCCAGAACTCGAGACGGGGGAGCTGTCTTTTCTGGCCAGTGGGATCACACAGGCCACTCACCTCCTCATGTATAGTGAGATGATCATGGAGTATGCGCTCTGCATTTACATAGGGTGATGCATAGAAAGGGCATTGGCCAATGAGAAGCTTTTGGGAGATTCGTCTACTCTGCTTGGGCCCAGACCCCACTTTTTTAACCAAGCTGCATCTCTCCTTCCGCCCCCACTGGGGTATCCTGTATCTTGCCCAACAAGGAGCAGATAGAGTGCTCACTGCCCTAAGGAAGGGGGGCATATTTCTATCTACATCTCCCTTGACCCTCACCATGCCCTGGGGTAACTGGAAGGAGCAGACTCAGAGAGGGAGTGTAACATGCCCAGGGCTGCACAGCTGCTTTGGCCAGTTCTGTTCCAGGAAGAGCACAGGGTGGGGGAGGCATAAGGGGTCAGCTGCAGAGTCAGCTTGCGTGGGAGTGGCCCTGAGTGGGGACTGGGCTCGCTTTGTCCTTGCATTTGTTTCCAGGAACCCGGCCACTCCAGGCGTCTGCCCTCACTCTGGGGCTGGCAGGGCTGGACCAGGCCATTGGCACTGGTGGGGACAGCTGGAGTGAACTCTGTTCAGGCTGGTGAATTTATCTGGACCCCTGGCAGGAAACAGACAGGGAGCATCTGGCAGGCTCTTTGGTGTTCCATTAATTGTGACAATGACTTTGGCCCCAGATGTGTCACTGCTGCCTGGAGCTGGGACAGCAAGCATGAGCTCTTACAAGTGAGGATGCTCCCCCAGAACCTCACTCTCATGGTCCTGAAGGCATGCGGGCAGACCAGGGATGTGCTGGCAAGGGCAGCATTGCATCCGGGCCTTGCTCTTTGAGTGCCTTCCTGTGGCAGGCCTGAGCTCAGCACTCTGTAGGCATTTTCTCCTGGCGTCCTCCCAGCCTAATAGAGATGGGCCTGTCTGGGGGTGCTGGGGTGGAGACCATGCAGCTGGCAGAAATGAGGCCAGGTGGAGGGACTTGTGACAGGCAGGAAAGGGTTTGGGACACTCAGGACCCCCAGTGTGTTATACAGAGAGCAAGCTCAACCCACAGATTAATGGGGTGTCGGGAGGAAGGGTCTTCAAGCCCCTGCTTCCCTGTACTGAAGTAACAAGATCCTTAGTTCGTACAGGGCAGAGAGAGAGTCACAGATGTGGACATGGCCACCTGTCCTCAGTCCCAACAGTTCCTTGAGGTCCTCAGGACTCAGCCCACTGCCTGCTCCTGGCTGGAGCAAGGTGGAGGTGTGGATGAGGAAGCCTGGGCTCTTCCCCCTGTGTGCCTACATAAAGCCCCTGCTTCACCTAGGATGTTGCTGGCAAGTGCCACATCAGGAGGGCCCAGGTGTTTCTCTCTCTCTCCCATATGGATTCCAGGGCCCTGAGCTATCACTCTCCACTGTTTTGCTGGGGGTCTGGGACCCACTTTGTGAGCAGGGAGTATTTACTTCATCATGGTTGTGGTGCCATGGTACTAGGGATAGGGGTTAAACCCAAACTCTCAAACATGCAGGGCAAGAACTCTACCATTGAGCTGTATCCCTTCTTTCTGATTGTGGTAAGACACACATAAAATTTACTACCATAACCACTTTTGCCATACAGTTCAGTGGCATAAAGCACATTTGCATTGCTCTGTGACCATCATAGCGCCACCGTTCTGACCACCCATCTCCAGAACACTTTGTCTTTACCAGCTGTACCACAGACGGTAACACCCTGCCCTGCCTTACCACACCCTCTAGAAATCATCATTATTTCCCATCTTTATACCATACTGACCTAAAGACCTGATGCAGCTGGGATGGGATGAGGCAGCATTGGTCCCTTTATTTGTGGCTGTTTTGGTTAAGTATGCCTTTAGGACTCGTCCATGGGGTAGGGAGGGTGGCTCAGTGCTCTTACTATGTAAGCTTATGACCTGAGTTAGAATTCCCCAGCACCCATGGAAAAAGCCAGGCATGGTTAGGTGTGCATCTGAAACCCTAGCACTATGGTGGTACTGATGGAGGGACAGGATGGAAGAATTACTGGACTTGTTGACCGATAGCTGAAAAGCAATGAGGTCCAATTTTGGTGAAAGACCCTATTTTAAGGGAATGTGATGGGGAGTGAAAGTGGATGGCACTCAGCGCATATATATTTGAGACAGGGTTTTTCTGTGTAGGCCTGGCTGTCCTAGAACTTGCTTTGTAGACCAGGCTGGCCTTGAACTCACAGAGATCCACCTGCTTCTAGGGAGATAGTGCTGGGATGAAAGGGGTGTGCCACCATACCCGGCTCAGTCAGCATATTCTGATCTCTCTCTGTGTGCATGTATGAGCACACCATACACACACACACACACACACACACACACTTACCCATGTCCTAGCATGTTTATCAGACTCCCATTCCTTTTTAAGGCTAAGCAATAGTCCACCGTCTGTGTGTGCGTGCTATTTTCTGTGTCCATGTCTGTTGGTGTGCAGGTAGGTTGCTTACATTTTTTCAGCTACTTGAGATGTTTATGTGTTTTCTAATGACTCGAGGGATGCTACGTGGTAAGTAAGCATCCACACTCAGCAGCACACCCAGCTGCCCATTTGCATCATGAGCGTGGGCATACGGGTATCTCATCAAGATGACGTACACTTAGAACCGCTGCCTCGTGTAATTCCCTTGTTTGAGGCCCTCGCTATGCTGTTTGCCACAGTGGCTGCATAGTTCAGCGATACACCAGGCTCCCACATTCTTCATGCCCTCACTGGCACTTCCTTTCTGTTTAAATATCTAGCGAATGTGTAGTGGGCTCTCACTGTGGGTTTGATCTGTATTTCCCCAGTGGTTAGTGATGCCGAGTGTCTTTTCTTGTGCTGTTTAGCCATCTGTGTATCTTCTTTAGAAAAAAAGTGTCTTTTCAAGTCCTTTGCTCCTTTTTTAATTGTGCTGTTAGTTTTCTGTTCGTGAGCGTATTTCTTTATTTGTTATGGATATTAATGTCTTGTCTGATATATGGTTGGCAGATTTCCTCTGCTTCCCGGCTGCCTTCCTCTCAGCTCTGTGGGGATATTTGGTTTAATCTCTGTTTCCCTCACCCAGCTAGTACCAGACAAAAGCTTAACTTTCCCCCAGCCTTGTTCTGGCTTGAGTAGGGTCCAGGCCAGCCCTAGGATCCCAAGCCAAGAACAGTGGAGCAGAACCTCCTTCGGTAGCTTGCCTGCCGAGTGCACACATAGCCCTGAGTTCCATTCCCAGCACTTTACCAACCAGGCAGGTCTATAATTCCAGCACTCAGGTGCACACCTTTAATCCCAGCACTCAGAGGCAGAGGCAGGTGAATCTCTGTGAGGTTTTTTTTGTTTTGTTTTGGTTTTGGTTTTTGTTGTTGTTGTTGTTTTGTTTCGTTTTGTTTTGTTTTTCGAGACAGGGTTTCTATGTGTAGCTTTGGAGCCTATCCTGGCACTCGCTCTGGAGACCAGGCTGGCCTCGAACTCACAGAGATCCGGCTGTCTCTGCCTCCCGAGTGCTGGGATTGAAGGCGTGCGCCACCAACGCCCGGTGAATCTCTGTGAGTTTTAAGGCCAGCCTGGTCTATAGAACGAGTTCCAGGACAGCCAAACACAGAGGAAATATGTCTCACCCCCAGAAAAAAAAAATCTCAGCACTCAGAGGGTACAGGCCAGAGAAATGGAATCGTTCAGGCTTGGTTCTGACTACAAAGTGAGTTTAAGGAGAGACCCTATCTCAGACAAACCACAAACCAAAACGCAGCAGGGTGGAGTCAATCATCAGTCATTCAGCAAGCAGCCACAAAGGAAGGGGAGCTGGAGAGGGATTTGAGGTGGGGTACAACCCAGGACCACTGCTTCTTATGCTGGAGGGGTCCCTTTAGTAGCTCGATGGGAAATTGGACTTACCCACTTATCTAAGCAGGGCCCCTCTTCCTGGGAATGACAGCAAGAGCCATATAGAAACAGCAGTCAGATCCTGAATGGCAGACAGGCAAAAGTGGGCCCTGGCTCTGGCCAGCCTTACCCCTTGATGGCACACATCCGGCCCCTCCTCACATCTGTAAATCAATAACACTTCCATGGGTTTAACTTGAGGGTTCATTTGCAGGTGCCTGGACTTGGGCAGTGGTGACTGCCTACCCAGAGGGATGTTCTTGCCTGTGGTTTTCCTGGCACCTATGCAGGATCTGGCAGGACAGGGCCAGGCGAGGCCTCTGCCTTAGCAGACTGTGTTCTCTTTGTCACAGTGGGACTCCATCAATGAGGTGGACGAATCCTTCCGGCCCATCCACACGTACCAAGTGTGCAACGTCATGACCCCCAATCAGAACAACTGGCTCCGCACAAACTGGGTGCCCCGAGATGGTGCCCGGCGTGTCTACGCTGAGATCAAGTTCACGCTGCGTGACTGCAACAGCATTCCTGGTGTGCTGGGCACCTGCAAGGAGACCTTCAACCTCCACTACCTGGAGTCTGACCGGGACCTAGGTGCCAGCACACAAGAGAGCCAGTTCCTCAAGATTGACACCATCGCAGCTGATGAGAGCTTCACGGGCGCTGACCTGGGTGTGCGGAGGCTCAAGCTGAACACGGAGGTTCGTGGTGTGGGCCCACTCAGCAAGCGTGGCTTCTACCTGGCCTTCCAGGACATAGGCGCCTGCCTCGCCATCCTCTCACTCCGAATCTACTACAAGAAATGCCCCGCCATGGTTCGCAACCTGGCAGCCTTCTCGGAGGCAGTGACCGGGGCCGACTCGTCCTCGCTGGTAGAAGTGAGAGGCCAGTGTGTGCGGCACTCGGAGGAGCGAGACACGCCCAAGATGTACTGCAGTGCTGAGGGCGAGTGGCTGGTCCCCATCGGCAAGTGTGTGTGTAGCGCTGGCTACGAGGAGCGGCGGGATGCCTGTATGGGTGAGTGGAACTCAAGGCTGGCTGTCCCGGTGGGTGGCAGGTGGCTCCGCGTGGGCAGGGCTGCTGGTGTACAAGACATCATCTCCAGCCATCTGGCTCCCTGTCAGCAGATGCACAGGGCATCTGGGGGCTGGGGAACAGACAGGTGGCCTGTCCTGTGGACGTTGTGAAAGGGACCTGTGTGATCCGGTATCAGGCATGTCCCTGGGATAGGAAACAACACTGTGAGTGAACCACGCAGCCACTGTTTAGGAATTTCACATGTATTAACTCAGTCCCCATCAGCACCTTATAAAGCAGGGGCTATTATTGTTCTGGTTTTGAAGATGCGGGGGCAGCGTGGGGTGGGGAGCAGCTTGCCCCAGGTCACACAGCTAGGCTAGGCAGTAGCAAGGCTAGGATTTGAATTCTGGCTCCGGACTTTTACGCTGAAAATTTCCAGCCTTCCAAAGCATGGAGTGGATGGAGGTAGAACCAGGGTTCTGAGTAAAGAGGCATAGGAGGGGACATTGCAGAGACATGCTGACAGGACCACCCAAGGAGGACAGGCTGGGCTCCGCTTGTCGCATGGTCCCAGACTCAGGCTGCCTGTGTTTAGGGAAGCTTGCAAAGTCCTGCTGTGGACAGCTGAGCACATGGGTGTACCAAGACCAGGCACAACTGACAAGGGACACCCAGGCACTGTGCTGCATGAGTGTGTGTGTGTGTGTGTGTGTGTGTGTGTGTGTGTGTGTGTGTGTGTGTATGAACACACGCATGTGCACACATGTGGTCTGTGGATCCACGTGGAACCCTGCAGCCTGGCACGCTGGGAACAAGTTGCCTTGGGGAGTTCCATGGCTACCAACTGGGGCACCAGCTGGTGAGGGGCTCTTGGATCTCCTAGGGGCTGGACACATGGTCCCTCTGCCATCAGAGCACAGACAAGCCTGACTATGGAGACCTTTGATTCTGGCTGCAGAGGGACCTTCCTCTATAGGAGCCATGGAGACACCTCCTGCAGACTGGAAGAGCACACTGCCTCTATGGCACCTTTTCCAATGTTTGCCGTGTTTGGAGACTTCAATATATTCCCTTAACACATTAGGTCATTTATTCTTCCGTTGGGCATCCGTGTGCTCAGGGCATGGAAGTCTGGGCCAGAGGCCCCTGCCTTTAGGAAGTCCCGATCCTTACAACAGCCTTCTAAGTGAGGCACCATGCTCCCAGTTTGCAGATGGGACAAACTGAGACCCTCTGATGTGAGTAGCAGAGTGGATCTGATTCCAGGCCACCTGGCCTTCAAGCCAGGGACTCCCCATCCACCCACAGAGCCCTCTTGTCACCTCCAGGCTGCTGGTGATGGGGTCAGTCATACCATAATGTCACTGCATGGTGACACCTGTTCCAGGCTGCCTCAGCTCCCAACTCTATATGCCAGTCCTACAAGGAAGCCCGTCAGGCCCACGTGCACCAGGACATGCTGGCCTTTGGGAAAGTCTAGGAAGTCCCCTTGTTTGGCAGAGGTGGGAAATGGAGCAGGGTAGGGCTCTTGGTGAGAATTCCTCGGAGACTTGGAGGCCAAGGCCAAGCTTACTGCCTGCTGCCGCCAGCCCATTAATAAAAAATAACAAAGACACGCAGGGCAGGGTTAGGGAACTGCAGTGTGTTTTGAGTTTTACATTTAAATCATAATGCAACATAATTATGCTAGTTGCAAGATAATTACAGGTTTTATAAAAAATATCAATTCACAGTACACTGCAGGCAGCAATAGGGATGGGCTGCGGGTTTTGAGTCCCACGTGGAGGGACATTCCCCAGCCCTGCTGGTGGCATCTGTGACTGTGTGTGTCACCACATCTGGAAGGAGCCACATGGGTTCTGAACTGAGACCTTCACAGAGGGATTCAGGCCAGCAGCCTTGCCTGGGTCTCTGTTTGGAGACTGTAATCTCTGCCGTGTCCCAAGGTGTCTAAGTAAGATTTCTTTCGGGCATCAGAAACTCATGGGGGAAATGTTGGAGCCATATGAAACCGATTCAGTTTACCACTGAGAGACAGAAGTCCAGAGAGGGCAAGTTACTGGCCCGGGGACACACAGCAAGGACTGGTAGGTCAATCTCCAATCTCTAGGATCCCCTGAGCAGAAGCTGCCAGTTAGTGACTCAGTGACCTCCTTAGTCACCTACCCGCACTCCTCCCCTCCCCCAACTCCTCAGCACGCGGAAGGACTTTGGAGCATCCCCCCACCCCCTGAGTGGCAGGGAGAGTCTGAAGCCTAGTTGCTGTCCTTCCTGTCACCTGGATGTGAATGTAAATCACCCTCGGGGGCCCTAATCATCTTTCTATAAATATCAGAGGCTCATTTGGAGGGGAGCAGGGACAACGAGCTCTTTTGCCTTCCTGCCTGTGTTTAAAATCTGATTTAGAATTAATTTCCTTTGGTCGACCACGGGCGGGCACCTTATTTGTCAAATCTCAGGCTTCGTGCAGGGGGAGCAGAGAGGTGGCTGAGGCTGTGGGCAGCTGCCAACCTGACAGGCAGCCTGGGCAAGGTGCCCTCGGCGGGGCAGCGGCCTCTCCTGGCCCACAGCCTGCAGCTCCAGCCCTCGACCACTCCGGAAGCCCCCTGGGTCACAGGGCAGGACCAGGCCCCAGCCCGGAGTGCCTCCATCTGTCCCAGCCACTAATTCCTAGCCCAGCCTCCAGGATCCAGGGCTCCCTGAGGCCTGGTGATTAGTATTCTTATTAAAGATGATTTTATTTTCAAGGCGTGGATTAATCTGGCCTTGACACGTGATAGCCATATTGGGTATTAGCGGAGCAGGAGGGAACTGCCGACTAGTGAGCTGTAGGAAGACACAGCCAGCCTGGAGAGACGGCTCAGTGGTTAAGAAAGACACAGCCACTTCTAAGCTCAGGCCTGGGAGGAGAGTCAGGTAGGGGCCCAGCTGGAAGGTCCCTGACTGGCTTTGCATCACCCCTGGGCTGAGAACCTGGGGCTGAAGGCTGCAAGTCTCTGAGCTGCTTCCTTTTCTGCCAGAGGCTCCTGTGAACTGGTGTGCAATACAGTGAGAGAGCTTGCCGAGCCTATGCAACAAGGCCCTGGGTCCTATCCACAGCGTGCACGCACGCGCGCGCACACACACACCACACACACACACACACACACACACACACACACACACACAGGCAAAGCAGCTGTACAACAGTTACAGCAACAGTACCACCAGATCTGATGCTCATGTGACCTTCACTGCAGCCCCGAGCTAGCACTATTGCTGCTCCCATTTTACAGATAAGAAAACTAAGGCCTAATGATGTGCCCTGTGTCACTTAACCCAATTGTGGGGTTATGCCAGAAAGAGACTCAGCCGATCCCTGGTGCCCACCCTTACCTACTGTGAGCTGTTGACAGCCAAAGAGTTTTCAGAGATGGCTGTCCCTTTGTATTCCCTTCACATGGCGCCACAGCAAGATGTCGCTAAGAAGGACTTCCCGTTCCATTGCTCCAAAGGCTCCCCTGGCAGAGCCCTCTACTCTGATCTAGGTTGTAGTGGAGGGGCAGGGCAGTGGGGGACGGGTGAAGGAGGAACAGCACATGGAGAGCGGTCTGCCCACCACAGTGAGGGCACTGTGGCTCAGGTCCAGCATGGAGATGCCAAGTCCCCTGCTAACAGTGTCCCCTGCTAACAGCGCTGCCTGGATAGTTCCCTACCTTGGAAGGAGCCTGTGTCTGGGCTGCACCCCAAGGTGGGTCCCTGTACCTTGAGCCCAAATGGATCAAACCTGAATCTTCTTGGGGTCCCTTAGAATGAGGCAGGTAGCTCCAAGCATGGGCATATTGTCTTGTCACCTAACAGCGATGGGCCCCTTCCAGGGCTTCAGTCTTGCATCCCCGAAGCCACTCAGGGTTGTCCTTTCCCTTGCTGCTCACTTTCTCTCAAGTCTGCAGAATTCTAGAATTTTCTTGGCTTTAGCAGGTATAATAAAGAGATCTGATCGGCATCCTCGGGCACCGTGCTCTGAAATGACTCTCTTAAATAAAACTTCTCTGGGGGAATGGCTTTTCCAGAATGGGATTTAGTGTGGAGAGAATCCAGCGAGCCTGCCACTGTCCCTATGGTAGACGACTTGTGCTGTGACAGAGCTGGAAGTGGCTGGGTGACCTGGGTCTGCCTGACCCTCCAGCAGGGTTCATGCAAACACCTGCTCTGGAGCAAATCAATCCTTACCTCCTCACCCCCGTGAGGACTCCCAATCCAGGAGGATAGACTGACTGGGGAAGGGAGCTACAGGGACAGGCACAGTCATTTCTGTGTGTTCCATGGAGAGGGCCAGCAATGCTGAACCAATTGGAATGGATCTGGAAAGAGGAGTTCAGCACATGGATAGGAGAGAAAAGGCACCCTGGGAAGAAAGCTGGACATGTGCAAAGGCCCTGAGGCCAGCAGCGTTCGAAGACTGGCCCGTTCAATCTGGCCTGATGGGCTGCTGGCATTGGCATGGCAGAGAAGGCTATTTTTATTTGGAACTCCAAGGGGCTGAGCAGGCTGGGCCAGGCCAGGGTGAGGGGGATTCCTGAACCTGTCTTGATGGGGGAAATACTTCTGTGTATGTTTATAAATAAAGTACTTGCTTGGCCAATGAGACAGCAGGTTAGGCTGGACTAGGAGTCAAAGAGGAAAGAGAGCGACACTTCCTTTTTCCTCTTCTTAAATATGAGTCTCCTTGCTATGTCACTTCCTGTCTGGAACACCACTTCTCTACTACATTTCTCAGAATCCTCTTTGACTCCTAGTCCAGCCTAACCTGCTGTCTCATTGGCCAAGCAAGTACTTTATTTATAAACATACACAGAAGTATTTCCCCCATCACTGTCTGATTTGTTCTTACCCTTCAGACACTCCCCCTCCTTGGGGAGGGGCCTCTGCCACTGCTCTCCATGATTCCCTTGCCCTCCTGAAGATTATTCGATCATGTTTGCCTTGTGTCTCCTTCCCCAGCGTGGTGGCCCTGGAAAGTGGGCCGGGTAGCTCAATTCCTTTTCAGAGTTCCCTGGATTTGAAAAGGGCCTGGTCCTAGGTCCTAAGCTATCTGGCCAGCGGCTGACTGTGAGAGGGCAGGTGGGACTGGAGGCCCAGTTGTAGGCTGCCACTGTCACTCAGATGAGGTAGAACAGGTGGCAGGTTTGGCAGGAGAAAGGGTTAGACAGGAAACAGGCCACTGACTGCAGAGGTGACCCGGTGGCAGGTCTTGGAGTCAGGTTCCTGGGGGAACTTGTGAAACATGAAGTATGAGACCCTAGCCATAGACTTTGCAGCCTTGGGGTTTGTGCTCGAGCCAGGAAGCTGGCTCTAATGGGAGAGGGTCCGGGCCATTTGCCCAGACTTGGGACAGGTCATGTGTGGGTCTTTTCTTATTCTTCCACATTCCCCCTCTCCCTCTTTTATGCCACTCAAGTCACACAAGCCATGGCTTTAACCACCCTACCTTTGATTCTCAGCTTTTGGGCCCTGTCAGACTCTGGGGCCAAGGAGGGTGGGTGATTTGAGAAACTTTGGGTGGGGCTTTGGGGTGTCCACTTTGGTATTGGAATGCATATTTAGGTCCTAGCTCAGCTCCATGCAACCTTATGGAAGTCAAATGCCCTCTCTACACTCTGTCCTCCCATTTGTTGGTGAGGATGACAGCATTGTGTTACACATTAGAAACTCGGCCCTCCAGGACCCCCCCCACCATGCACACTGGGAAGCACAGAGGGAGTCCCCCTGAAGCCCTTTGGTGGTCCCTGAGCTTGCCTGTAGCTGTGTTATCCTCCACAGCCTGTGAGCTGGGCTTCTACAAATCAGCCCCCGGGGACCAGCTGTGTGCCCGATGCCCACCCCACAGCCATTCTGCCACCCCTGCGGCCCAGACCTGCCGTTGTGACCTCAGCTACTACCGCGCAGCCTTGGACCCACCATCAGCAGCCTGCACCCGTGAGTACTGCCTAGCAGTTCTCCTGGTAGGACCAAGGGTTCGGGAGCTAGGTGTCTGTGAAATAAGGGTGGGTTGGTGTGTAGGGGAGGGGGCTGGCTCTCACTGCAGCATCAAGCTTGACCTCCCGAAGTCTTGTTTTGGTGCCCTGCCATCTCTTCAGGGACATCCAAGAACCTCTTTCTACCCTTCCCTCGGTCTTTCTCTCCCTAAGGGATATCCAGCCAGGGCTCCTGCTTTCCTGGAGCAAGGTGGCTTTGGTCATCAGAGTTGGCAGTGATGTCAGTGTCCTAGGGCTGGGTAGGCAAGCCTTGTGCTCAGTGTGAAGTGAGAGTGGGAGCCAGATAGCACTCCTACCCCACCCCTGCCATCCTAGACAAGCCAACCGGGAACTGCTGAATGCTGGGAGCCCCCCCCCCTCTCTCTCTCTCTCTCTGTCTCTCTGTCCACCAATGATGTCTGCACGCCTGAGTGTGAGTGTGCAGCATGCATTTGTACTCATGTGTGTTATAGGTTCTCAGGTGGGTGGGTGTGAGTCACAGGAAAGTTGAAAGGATTCCTGAACAGGTGTGTCTTGTGCCTTGAGAAGGTGTGGTTCTGTGTGCACGTGCCCTGTGCACCCGAGGGGACTCCAAGGGACACAGGACTGTCTTGACACTGCTGTTGCTTCTCAGCCCTGGTCTTAACCTCCCCTGGCCAGGGGCTCAGCATTCATCAACCCTTGCCCACTGCCTGCTGCAGGGAGGCCTGAATGATTTCGCCTTCATGCTGCTGCTAGATCCCTCCTCCCTGGCCCCTCTCGTCAGCACCCAGCCCCAGGCTCCCTGCACAGGCAGGCCAGGGCTTGACTGTGCTCACAGTCATGGATGGCACACACACTCGTGCCAGCCACCCCTCCTTAGCGGTTCTTGCCCAGGCTTGAGCCTTATCTTGATGTGGGACCAGATGGGGCAGAAAGAATTCCTCCTCAGCTCAGACGAGCCCAGCTCTTGGTCCCAGGCAGTGCCCACATCTGGCTAAACTCAGAGCCCAAAGCTGCCAGCTGCCCTAAGTCCATGAATCGGGGCTTTTGGTGTTTTGTACCTTTAGCTTGGAAATTCTTCTCTGTATTCTTCAAGAGGCCTGAGAACCCTTCAAGAAGGGTTCTGAGAATGTGCGCTCAGTCTCTCAAGGCCAAGGTTCCTACCCTGGGGTCCTCTACCCAATCTGTGCCCTCCCAGCTCAAACCCCATGACACTTCTACCCATTCCCACAATCAGCCCAAGTACGGGGCCACCAGCCCCTCTCTCCAGACTCTGTGCTGCCCAGCCTGGGCCTGCATTCCAGGGGTGAGGCAGGGATGTGTGGTACCCCACAGCCTGGTAGATAAACAGGACTTTTTGTACCAGAGAGGGTGCCTGGTGGCATTTTTATTAGCGCAAGAATGCAGAGATAGAGGCGGGTGGACATGACCAGTTTACATATAGAGTGGCTGCTGTGGGCATCCCAGGACTGTGCAGTGTCCTCCCAGCTACAGGTGGGAATTGTAGGAACACGCGCTGTGACCCAGTGGCGTGGGAACTCAGGCTCCTGACTCAGATGCTGATACAGTCTTTGTCCTGGGAGCTTCCAGAGGATGGAATAGATGTGACTTCTTAGTTAAGAGGCCCCAGATACAATGGAGGACCTGGGTCAGTGCCACTCCAGCTTGTTACTCTCTGTCCTCAGGGCCACCCTCAGCACCAGTGAACCTGATCTCCAGTGTGAATGGAACGTCTGTGACCCTGGAGTGGGCCCCTCCCCTGGACCCAGGCGGCCGCAGTGACATCACCTACAATGCAGTATGCCGCCGCTGCCCCTGGTCCCTGAGCCACTGTGAGGCTTGTGGGAGTGGAACCCGCTTCGTCCCACAGCAGACAAGCCTGGCACAGGCCAGCCTGCTGGTGGCCAATCTGCTGGCCCACATGAACTACTCCTTCTGGATTGAGGCTGTCAACGGTGTGTCCAACCTGAGCCCCGAGCCCCGCAGCGCTGCTGTGGTCAACATCACCACGAACCAGGCAGGTAGGCGGAGCAGCCCTGGGGACCCCATGCCCTCCTAAACCATGTCTCTTTTGGCTCTTCCTTCCCACCAGGACCTGAGCAGGGGACTTTTTTGCCTGTAGGAAAGTGGAACCCGTCCTGAGAATGGATATGCCCTAGAAAGTACAGAGGCAGTCTTCCATTGGGGGCCATAAGCCCGGATTCTGGAACTTTCTCTGCCTGTATCTCTGTTTTCTCTCTTATTCAGTAGAAGTAACAGTACTGCCTCCCATGCTGTCAAGGTGTAGAGAGAAGGGAGGGTGTTCATTCCAGTAACTGGCGGTGGAGTCCCACGCTGGTCTTGAACCCACCCCAGTCCTTCTGTCTTAGCCTCTAAGTGCTGAGATGACAGATATGTCCCACCACTCCCAGTTTATGCAGGGCTGAGGATCAAACCCAGTGCTTCATGCATGCCAGGCAAGCACGCTACCAACTGAACCACATTCCCAGCTCTAGATGTCGTCACTTTGGTGCCTATTTCCAGAATCAGGTCAGTTTGGCCATATTGGGACCATGGCCATTCACTTATCTCTGGTCACTTGGACTAAGTTCAGCCCTTGGAGATTTGTTCTTTCCAAACTCGGGGGTCCTGCCTGCCAGGTGCAGCCGGATCCTCAGAGCAGCCAGGGACAGCTTTCTATGAATAGTCACCCCGGAAAATTCCCAGGGCCCGAAGCTCCTTCCCACCATTGGCATACATAGGCATGCAGAAACCGCCTGTCACCACATAGACAGCAGAGGTCGGGACCAAATGAGCAGCTTCCTGGAAAGTTCAGCACCACCATCTCTCCAGTGATCTAGTGACATCTATCCAGGGCACACCTCCTTTTCCCCCATCTTTCCACCCCCTTATCCAGTTCACAGTCCCACTCTGCCACCTGTCTGCAGGATGAGGAAGGCAGGTGGCTGACTGGACCAGGGGGGCAGAAGAGTGAAGAACCCAGCAGCATTTGGACAGCACCCACATTAGCAAGAGATACCCGCTACCCGACTCCACCCACCATGGGTCTCCTGTGCTGTTCCTGTCAAGGCCTTCTCTCCCACAAGGCTCTCCTTGCGGAGTGACCTCAACTGCACCTGCTAGTCTTTCCTCCCCAACTTGACACCATGGCTATATGCAGCAGTTGCCTCTCCTTGTTCTGTATCCCTGCCCATCTGCCTGCCAGCCTTGGTCTCCTTAGAACAGCCTGCAGGGACAGCCATAAGTGACTTAGCTGGCCCTGGCTACTGAGAAAGCCACTGCAGAGCTGTGAGCTCCACATCTGACTCCCCTATTTCAGGTCCTTCCATAGGGGCTTCTTGACATTCACAGTCTCTAGCATCAGCAGCATCTATTGGGCATCAACTGTATGCGGTCCCTGCCTTCAGAGAGCTCCCAGGAATGCTGGAGCAGCAGAACACCTAGACACAGGAGGAACTGGCCAGTCAGGGTCTCACTCTACAGTCCAGGCTGACCTTGAATTCGTGTTGATTCTTGCATCCACTCTGAGTATTGGGATTACAGGTGGGAGCTTGGCCTTTTCTGTAGCTATGTGTGACACTCAAGCAGACTCAGGAGAGCACAGAGTACCTGAAGATGAAGCCAGGGGTAGGAGGCTGGGTACCTCCTGTGACCAGAGAACCCCTGAACCCAGACAGGCCTGCTCAGCTCCTGCCCCTCGTTGTTCAGTGCTATCCCAGCCAGGACTCCAGCCCAGGGTCCTTCCTTGGGCCTACCTGAGGCATGTCCTGCTACCTGCAGACCTCTGCTCAAGGTGGAGGCCCTGAGGGCAACCAGGCCTGTCTAGATGTAGCCAGCTTTACATCCCGGCCCAAGAGCCAAGCCATGCTGTTGAGCTGACCCAGAGGATTGACTCAGAAGGCAGCCAGTACCTCTGCAGGGCATGGGGCTGCTGATTGTCCTGGTGTAGAAGCAGGAGGGTCAATAAACTGACCCTGGGGTCCCAGAGGGGCCTGAGCAAGGCTGGGCAGAGGCCTGGGCATGGCCCATGCTAGGCCTGATGGATAGCTGCCACCCCAGCCCCGTCCCAGGTGGTGGTGATCCGGCAGGAGCGGGCAGGGCAGACCAGCGTGTCACTGCTGTGGCAGGAGCCAGAGCAGCCCAACGGAATCATCCTGGAATATGAGATCAAGTACTACGAGAAGGTTTGAGAAGGTTCCCCAAGGTGGGTGGGTGAGGAGCTGACAGGGGGCCTCGGGCAGCGAGGAGGGCCTCAGAGCCCCATGGCCTCACTGCCCTTGTGTTTTGGGGGCAGGATAAGGAGATGCAAAGCTACTCGACCCTCAAGGCCGTCACCACCCGTGCTACCGTGTCTGGCCTCAAGCCAGGCACTCGATACGTGTTCCAGGTCCGAGCCCGCACCTCAGCAGGCTGCGGCCGCTTCAGCCAGGCCATGGAGGTGGAGACCGGGAAACCCCGTGAGTGCAAGGAAAGGGAGGGACAGGGAGTCCCACTGGTGAGACTAGGAGGTGGAGGGTGAGCAGGGGAAAGCCTGTGGCCATACCAGACTGTGCCCACAACACCCCTGTTCTCATTACTCCAACCCAGAGGGGCTGCATCTGCATTTACAGGGCAGAAAGTGAAGGTTGGCCCCCCCTCACCTGCAGGCCTTTCCTGAGCCCGAGTGAGGCCTTTTTCCAGATAACCTTATGGGTGTCCCAGGGATGTCTCTCAAAGGCTCATGCTCTCACAGCTTGTGGAGGCTTCCCTGTGTGCACTCTGCTGTGCTGTGTATATAACTTCCACATCACTAGGGCCTTGTTGAAAGTACTAGCCCCCAGGCCTGTTGCCCTGAATCAGAGACCCTGAGAAGGGGGCCCAGCAGTTAAAGGTTTGCACAAGCCCCAGTGTTTATAGGTCCCTCTGAGACCGAAGGTGGCAATCGTGGCCTTTCCATTCCATTTATCGTGTGGCCTCCAGTTAGAGTTCTCGAAGCCTCCGGTAGGTTGCAGACAGTGCCAGGCCCTACTTTACAGGGCTGAGAAGAGGGTCCCCTGAGGCCAGCCGCATCTCTCAACACACGCCTGGTGCTGGGAGATTGACAGGCAGCACAGGTGGTTTTCAGCTCTTCTTTGTTTGAGTCAAAGAGGGCAAGTAACTGTCCCCAGCATGCACAGCGTGCCCAGTGGGAAGCCGGGCAGTCCTAGTGCAGGGTGGGGTGGGAACAGAGCTGGCTGCTGGTTGCAAAGGGCCAGGCCTTTCTGCAGGGCCCCGCTATGACACTAGGACTATCGTCTGGATCTGCCTGACACTCATCACTGGCCTGGTGGTGCTGCTCCTACTTCTCATCTGCAAGAAGAGGTCGGTGCCCTTCTGCCCCGCCCCAAGCCACAACCCAGTCAGTCATGCCCATCCAGAACCCAGCTCCCCCAGCCATGCTCAGCCAACCTCAGCCCCTCCTTAACCTCAACCCAATCACGCCCAGCCACAACCTAGCCACGCCCAGTCCCACCTCAGCCCCAGCCAAGCCCAGCCACACCCAGGCAATCTTAGCCACACCCAGGCAGGGAAAAAAAAAAAAAAAGGAACCTGCTAGAGTGGCCCAGTAGAGCCTGGAAGTCATGCCTTTGCAAGCATGGCCTGTATGAGGGTTGGCCACTCTGGGAGCATTTTGTAGATTATAACTGTTTTGTGGCTGTTGGGGCTGTCCCCATGGGCTGAGCTGTGAGCCCAAAAGCAAGGACCCTCCCCTGTAGACTTTCTGAGGAACAAGAGCCAACCTGCTGGGAGAGGGGTCCCTAATTCATCTGACTGGGTCTAGGCTGGCCTGGCTGCAGCAGGGTATGACTGCCCCCCACCCCCATCCCCGTGCAGGCACTGCGGCTACAGCAAGGCTTTCCAAGACTCAGATGAGGAGAAGATGCATTACCAGAATGGGCAGGGTGAGTGCGCAGGACCCGGTGCAGGGCTTGGCAGGTGCAGGTGTCTGTAGGAAAGGCCAGGCAGGGCCTGTAGGCTGAGGCTAGCTGTTACAGAGAGCACCCCCACTTTGCAGGGTCGCAGCCTCCTGGAGGACGCTGAAGGCTTTTTGGCCAGAGCAAGGCCCAGCCACAGTCACTTACATGTAGTTCCTGTGTTATTTCTCTGGTGGGGGGTTATGCAGTCTTGGACGAGAGCCCTGCTACAGAGAGATTGTCAGGGTCCTGTGGAGATTCCAGGAAGCAGGGGACATGTAGGGAAACTTCCCCTCCACATCCCACCACTATGCCCGTTAATGTCAGTCAGAGTGCTCGTTCCCACCAGGCTCAATGCAGTCTCGGAATCCATCTTAGCCATCTTCTAGTGACCCAAAGCTGTCGCTTGTGAACTCTTCTTCTTAGTAGCATTACCACCCTAAGAGCAATTTTAAGATTACAGAGACTCAAGGCCCATGGGGGTGGGGGATGCACAGGGGACATCAGACATGTCAGAATTAACCAGAGACTGAGAGCACAGAGCCTTGCCATAGACTTCCTGCTTATGCCTGTGGTAAGCACTGTGGGGTCCCTGCTGTCTGGCACTATATCTAGGGATTCCCAGAGACACCCTCTTCCCCCTAGGAAATACTGGAGAGGGAACTTCCTCCTATCTCTATTGAGGGCCCTTCTCCTTGACTCCTCAGCACCCCCACCTGTCCTCTTGCCCTTGAATCACCCCCCGGGGAAGTTCCCAGAAACCCAATTCGGTGCAGAGCCTCACACCTATGAGGAGCCAGGTCGAGCAGGCCGCAGCTTCACCCGAGAGATCGAGGCCTCCAGGGTCCACATTGAGAAGATCATAGGCTCAGGTGAGCCCCAGAGGCTGGGAGGGATGGCTGGCACCAGAGGGGACCCATGGTCAGAGGGTAGGGAATGGGAACCCTGCAGCACCTAATGCTGGAGGCTTGGAGAGAGTGGGCCTGAGTGGGAGCTGGGTTCCACAAGTGCCTGCTCCTTCTGGGCCCCACAGGAGAATCTGGAGAAGTGTGCTACGGGCGGCTGCAGGTGCCAGGCCAGCGGGACATGCCCGTGGCTATCAAGGCCCTCAAAGCTGGCTACACTGAGAGGCAGCGACAAGACTTTCTGAGCGAGGCAGCCATCATGGGCCAGTTTGACCATCCCAACATCATCCACCTTGAGGGTGTTGTCACGCGTGGTAGGTGCCAGACAAGGGCAGCTTCACCTTGTGGGACACGCTACTCAGAGACAGATCAGGCCTATCTGCTGGGCCATCCTGACTCTGTCCCGATGACCCTGGAGTGCTCAAAGCCCATGACCCTAGTCAGACCCTAAAAACTGTCCTGACCACCTCCCTGGTGGGCTTGTATTCTTGGGGATCCTTGATCAGCAGCCCTGGCCCTGCCTGCACATACCAGGCCTCCAGCTCCCCTCTCCTGTCCAGGCCGCCTGGCGATGATCGTGACCGAGTACATGGAGAACGGCTCTCTGGATGCCTTCCTCAGGGTATGTCTACCCCCACTGGGGGAAGGGTGCACGTCCATCACTGCCCCTACACAGGTGGGGTATGTTTACTCGCTGACCGCATATGGGGGCTGTGTCTGGATGCTGGGAGTTTGTAAGCAGCACCCTCACCCACCCAAGCTTGCGTCCCACACACATGGGGAAGAGGCAGGTATGAAGGGGATCTTAAGAGCCAGGTGATCAAACTGCTTTCTGGCCCCTCCCATGAAGGTCCCACTGTTGCAAGGGTCCCTACTGCCCTGCCCCAAACCAAGGTGTGACATGTCCCATGCCAGGGAGTGGCTACATTTCCAGCCCCCACTGCTAGGTACTCATTGGGGGCTGTCAGACCTGGACCGTAACCTTTACCTCCATTTCCCCAGAGGAGACACCTCCAGGAGCCAGTGTAAGCAGCCAGGTGCTTCACTTTGCCCACTGCAGAGTCATCTCCAGTCTCTAGGGAATTATGAGATATTCCCAAGCCCTGAGCCAGGAACCCTCCCAAAAGCCCACACCACTCTGTATTCCCTTGCAGACCCACGATGGGCAGTTCACCATCGTGCAACTGGTGGGCATGCTCAGAGGGGTGGGCGCTGGCATGCGCTACCTCTCAGACCTGGGCTACATCCACCGTGACCTGGCCGCTCGCAATGTCCTGGTAGATGGCCATCTGGTGTGCAAGGTGTCAGACTTTGGACTCTCGAGGGCTCTGGAGGATGACCCCGAAGCTGCCTACACCACTGCGGTTCGTTTCTGACACCCTCTTGTGAGCAGAGGGTATTAGCAAGGCTTTACAATTGTCTCTAAAGCTTGATGGGCAGCCAGTCATGTTCTAATGTGTTCTGTGGAACACATCATGTGCTTCAGGGGCCTTTAGTCTTGTGTTGCTTATCTTTCTAGTGGCTCAGGGAGGTGGGCTCTGCTAAAACAGGTGCTCTTGGCTGATGGGCTGGGAAGCAGGACTCTGCCTTGAGCTAGAGGACAAGCCCAGTGGTTGGCCCTCAACATTTTCATATCCATCCCAGGGAGGAAAGATCCCCATTCGATGGACAGCGCCCGAGGCCATTGCCTTCCGCACTTTCTCCTCAGCCAGCGATGTGTGGAGTTTTGGCGTGGTCATGTGGGAGGTGCTGGCCTATGGTGAACGGCCCTACTGGAACATGACCAACCAGGATGTGAGTCTGGGGCCCAGGGTAGAGGTACAGTGGTGAGGCCTCAACAGAGAACCCATCCTGAGCCCAACCCTGTGCCCCCACCCAGGTCATCAGCTCAGTGGAGGAGGGTTATAGGCTGCCAGCACCCATGGGCTGCCCACGCGCCCTGCACCAACTTATGCTGGACTGCTGGCACAAGGACCGTGCCCAGAGACCTCGCTTCTCTCATGTTGTGAGCGTTCTCGATGCCCTGATCCACAGCCCCGAGAACCTTAGGGCCACAGCCACAGTCAGCAGGTACCTGGGCCCTGCACCAGCCCTACTGCCTCCTCCCCAGAATCCAGCTTTGCAAATCTTCTACCTTGTGTAGGGCTGGGGTGGAGGGAGAGAGTGCCTGGTGCCCATGACCCTGGCGAAGGCCAGAACCTTGACAGACTACTCACTGAACCCTCTGCTCCCAGGTGCCCACCCCCTGCCTTTGCCAGGAGCTGCTTTGACCTCCGAGGAGGTGGAAGCGGCAATGGGGACCTCACTGTGGGGGATTGGTTGGACTCCATCCGAATGGGCCGGTACCGGGACCACTTTGCAGCCGGCGGGTATTCCTCCCTTGGCATGGTGCTTCGCATGAATGCCCAGTGAGTGACAGGGCGGGTAGGAGGGTGCAGGGCCAGAGGCAATTCCACAGCAGTTCAGGGGTGGGCAGTGGGCTCTCTTCTCAGCCCCCAGACTACTAAGGCCAAACTAGTGGACCTCACTTCCTTCTCAGGGATGTGCGTGCCCTTGGCATCACCCTCATGGGCCATCAGAAGAAGATCCTGGGAAGCATCCAGACCATGAGGGCCCAGCTGAGCAGCACTCAGGGGCCCCGCCGGCACCTCTGACTCATGGCCCCCGGCCCTGGTCATACCAGCTGTCAGGGGCTCCGCAGGGCCACCAGCAGTCAGGGTAGCTCCTGAGCTCTGCCACAGGACCTACAGTTACAGGAGTCAGGCACCTGGGACAAGGTCCTTGGTGCTCCAGGTGGATGGGACACCTGTCGTCCGGAGGCACAGGACCTTGTGTCGTCTAGAGCCTGGGGTCTCCAACACCAGAATCCAACAGTGATGTCACTTACCTACCTGTGTGTGCATGCACGTAGGTGATGGCAAAGGTGTGCTCTCACAAGGTCCTGGCAGCTGGTAGAAACAATGTGTGATCATGTCTCTGTTCCCAGTCAGGCTCTGGCACAGATGTGTGCAGGTTACCATGTATGTGCTTATCCACTAGGGCAAGAGACACATATGTGTGACCACAGATAGCACGTCATGAATGAGGAGGCGTGATAGTGTGAGCAAGGAATCTGAGCTGACACTGCCCAGTCCCCAGTACCTGTGAGGACCAGGTAGAAGCTCACATTTACTCCCCCAGTGCCTGGAGGCTGGAGCCCAGGCTGCTTCTGAATCACACCAGCACCAGGCCCACCGTCCAGCCCGGGTGAACCCACCATGGCTATATCTCAGGTCCGGGCCTCCTTCCTATTTGGGGGAGCCATCTTCAGCTTCTGCCTGGCTCCCCCTGCTGCTCAACAGGAAAACAGGGTTCCTGGCCAGTCCCTCTGGCCACCTCCCATAGAGGGTCACAGTAGAGTGAGATGCCCTCAGAGGGGCTTGGCTGCCTGGCCATCTGCTCTCATGGCCGTGGTGCCTCTTCCCAACTTCTCACTGCCCATCCCTGCCACCCCTGCCCATGCTGGGAACAGGAGCATGGGGCAGACGCTAAGCTCCCATCCCACCCCTTCCTATACCAGACAGGGATGCCCAGAGAAGGGGATTCCTTGTCTGAGGTCACATGACAACCAAATTCTAGAGTTGGGCCCCTTTCCTCCCAGCCATGGTCTGTTAGGATGGGAGGGGTCTGGGAAGCCCATCACCCACAGGCTAACACCTCCTGTTAACGGCCCACCAGGGTATGTAAATATCTTTTTTTCTACCATGTCAGAATATTTTTTTCCTCACTCCTGACAATGCAAAAATGGTCTTCAAAGCACATAAAAAGCACCCGGGGGGAGAAAGCCCCACCCTGGGGGAGGCGGGGCCCAAGGAGCCCCAGCCCAGAGGAAAGGGCGGCCCCCTCCCCTGCCCAGCCCTGCCCACAGCCAGCACAGCACCCCGCGAGACACCAGCACTGAGCCCCTTCCCTCCTGCAATAATTCAGGGGCCTCAGCCTCACCCAGGTGCCGCGCGCGGCTAGCTCCTGCGCTTCTATATATTATAGTACTACGTAGCCCAGCTGCCCTTCCTTCCTATGGAAGTGGGAAACATGGCAGGACGCGAGGTGGGGGGACACCCAGTCTTCCTCCCCACCCCACTCACCCAGGGTCTGGGCTTGGGGTCCTCAGGCAAGGCCTCGGAGGTGGGTCCCCCTTGGGGCTCTTGGGGCCTCTCTGTGGCTCCCATCCTGTCTGGAAATTACCTGTGATGAGAATAAATTGTCTCATCTTTGCCTGTGCATTCTGTTTTTTTCCCCCCATTCCTGCTTCCACTAGGGCATCAGCAATGTGTATTTCACTCCAAGATCCCTCAGGCCTCTGTTCCAGGAGGTACCGGTCTTGGAAAGAATGACCTGCTCAGTCAAGTCTGCCCAGTTCATTTGCCGATGAACTGAAGCCCCCACACTGGGAGATGCACCCCATCCCCTAGGCCAGGTTCTGGCTTCAAGGGTACAGTTGGGATTCATCCCCCAGCCTAGTCCTCACAGCTATTCAATATCCTTGCCGGACTCCTATTGGAGAAAGATGAGAGGTAGAAAAGGTCCGTGGGAACAACTTGCTTGTACTAAGGCAAGGCAGGGAGCAACTGAGGATGTAACAGCAGGAGGCAACGTGGGTGGGTGGACATCAGTGCCTGGACAGGACAGGACACGGAACAGTGGGACTCAAGGCTGTCCATTTGAGCCAATGGCATGGGCATTTGGGGAAGATGCTTCCATGTTCATAGAGATGACCAAATAAAGGCTCTCCTCACTCTTTAGCTCCCTCTGACTGGGAAAGTGTGAACAGAGTAGTCAGCAGTGAGCAAACAGGGAGGGGACTGTGTCCCATGCAGCAAGAGCCTCCTGTGAAACCATACCTGATGGAAACCCCAAACCTAGCCCCAGGCCCCTCCCTGTGGCTCCTGCTGTTCAATGGAAGGAAAGGGCCCAGACTTGTCTTTACATAATCATCAGGCTCTACTGAGCCCCATGTGGGCCGTGAAGCTGAGTGGAGTTTTGCAGAATATCCAGCTTGCTGAACATCCTGGAAATGAGTACAAGGGGCTTAGAGGAGGCCAGGGAGAAGGGTGCCTGGGACTCTTACCAAGGGCTCTCTACAGAAAGAAGCATTTCATTTGCCATTAAATGATGAGAAGGGCTGGGTGTTGATTTTCTGGACAACTCCTGGTAGAAAGTGTGGAATGCAGAGAGGAAAAGAAGCCAGGTGGGGTGGGGTGGGGAAGCTTACAGAGGCAGAGTTGGTTGTGTCCCCTCCATTCTATGCTGCCTCTTGCATTTTGAATAAAAGGTCTACCAGCATCGTCCCTGCAGTGTGACAAGGTCAGCCCAAGATATGTGTGGAGTAAGAAAGAACCCAGAAGAGCCAACATGGCTTTGACAAGGAACAGGTAGGAAAGGCAAGGAAACTCACCCCAGCAGTGTTGGTCACCATCTTGACGTGCTAATGGGAAAGTTTAATTTAGTCCCAGCCAGAGACCAACGTATGAAAATAATAGAGAAATTGTAACACAAATATTAGAAATCCAGAGACAGATATTGGGGTTAAAGCTGAAGATCAGAGAAGCAAAGCAGCCGATCACTAGCTCTTACCTCAGACCGAAAATGGGTGATCCTGTCTCCATGTAATGCCTACAACAAACCTCAGACTGCAATACTCTCTTCAGCGTGACTGGAGACTAATTGCCTAAGACTGACTTTATATATCTCCTTATAGACCTCTGTCATTCTGGGATTAAAGGTGTCAACTCTTTTAGACTGATTCACTCTCATGTAGCCTTGGGTGGTCTTGAACTCATAGAGATCCATCTGCCTTTGTCTTCTGAGTCCTGGGATTAAAGGTGTGTGCCACCACTGCCCAGCTTCTATGACTGTGGGTAGCTTTGCATTCTGATCCTTCAGGAAAACTTTATTAAATCATAAATAATATACCACCACAAGAATCTGCCTCTGAACCGAGCCTGAGACACGAGAGTTTTTGACCATGGCAAGGGTAGAGCCCGGTCCCATTTAAGGATGAGGTCAACAGAGCACTACAGAAAAGGCAAAATGGGGTTCTAACTCATACTAGTCACAAAATAAGTTCCAGGGTGACTGTAGTCTTAAATGTATAAAAAAGAAGCTAATAAAATTTTCAAAGAAGGGGCTGGAGAGACGGCACAGAGGTTAAGAGCAATGGCTGCTCTTCCCAAGGTCCTGAGTTCAATTCCCAGCAACCACATGGTAGCTCAGAGCCATCTATAATGAGATCTGGTGCCCTCTTCTGGCCTGCATGCATACATGGAGGTAAGAGGCTGTATACATAATAAATCTTTTAAAATTTTTTTCAAAAGAAAACAGAAAAAATATCGACTAGGCATAAAAAGAATAAATAATGAAGGAAAACATGATGAAACTTAATCACTAAATACAAGAACTACTAGAAAATTAAAATAAAATAATAGATAGCCTTGGGGGGATTATCTGTTATCCTAGCACATAGGAGGCAGAAGCTGGAGGCTCTCAAGCCCAAGGCCAGCCTGGGCTACATCATGAGTGAAGGCCAGTTGAGCTGCCCAGTTTGTATCAACATACTATTAAGAATAATGGGTTTTGTGGTACTATGAATTGAACCCAGAGCCTTGGGCATGATGCTAGACAAACTCTCTACCATTGAGATATATTGCCAGCCCAATAACAACAGGTTTTTTTTCAAGCTACAGCCTATGGAAATACCTGTAATTTGAGTAGCCAAAACAGAATTTGTTTCCAAACTAATTAATGTGTGGGTTTTTTTTTTAATCCAGAGGTTGGTGAGACTCCTCAGTGGGTTATGAAACCTACCACCAAGCCCCACAACCTGAGTTTAATCCCCAGGATCAATGTGACTCCCAAAAGTTGTTCTTGACTTTTACATGTGCACCGTGGCATGTGTAACACACATGTCACATACATGATGAATCTGTGTGTGTGTGCATGGGAACCCTTTTAAAATCCAAAGGGCTTGTGATGTAGCACCAAGGTAGTGCTTGGCTAGTAGGCGTGAGGCCTTGGGCTCCATCTCTAGTACCATGAAAATGAAAAATAAATAATAACAATAATAACAAAACCCTGGAATCATTTCGCCACTCCTGCCCAACCCCCAGAAATAGGAATATGGGCCAGAGATGGACAGATGACAGGAAGAAATATGAATAGCCAATAAAGATAGTACAGAGATTCTGAACCAATAAGCACAGAAATGCAAAGTAGAACAATAATGAGGCCACAGACTACATCAATCTGAGTGTAGTATCTGCTTAATAACAGAGCTGTTTCCCCCACTCCATCCATAGCTGTTATTAAGCAGGGGAATACAAATCAGGACGCTATGGGGAGATGCAAATTGGCATGCTACTCTGGAGAGTCATTGGAAAATGCTCAGGAAATTACTGTTGTCTTAAGACAAGGGCTCCTGTAGCCCAGGCTGGCCTTGAACTCACTGTGTAGGAGAGAATGACCTTGAACTTTTGATCCTCCTGCCTCCACCTCCAAAGTGCCGGGATATGTGTGTGGACCACCAGAAACATTTAGTAAATCCAGGCCTATGACTTAGCCAATACCATTATGAATATGTACTGCCACAGCTTCTGGTCCCTCAGCAGGACCGGGGATGGAGAGTCCTGCAC